ATTTGTGTTGTAGTGATTATGCGTCATTGACATATTTCCGTAACGCATCATTGTCCATCAAACAGGGTATGTTTCATACATCAGAAATGAACACCTAAATGAATGATCAAAAAAATAAGAATGGTCCTGTATGTATGCATGTATTTGAATTCTCGTACTTGGAGAAAAGCCTAACTTTTGTTTTGAAAAATAGAGCCAAATCTCAGTGAATCAGGGTAATAAACAATTGGTTTTTTCTTTTTTTTTGGTTTGTTCTCTTGGCTTGTTCTTGTCGATTGCTTGTTATTCCATTTGTCATCGCTGAAGATTAACCGATTTTTATTACTAATCGAACTAGGCTTTATTATTCTGGCTGGAACTGATCCAGGCAATCGCCTATATTCAGACTGCATTTCTTTGCACAGCCTTCCTCGAAAACAGTCAAATCTCTGTCTTTCTTTTCCGGAGTGAGGGATACGAGTAGAAAGGGAAGTGGAGCGAAGGGATGGCATAGAGCTCTTTGTTGTTCATAAAGCAACACGCCACATCGTGCACGGCTTTTTCTGTACGTTTTCCGCTGAATGACTGCATAAAGATCTGTGAGTGCGTTTCGTGCAAGGAAGCTTGGGAACAGATCTCTTTTTAACCAAAAGGCAGTCTCCACCAAGTCATTGTTGTTTTTAGAATGTTTTAGTCATTTCATCTTTATTGCATAGATATGGCTAATTTCATGGCTCGCTCGACTCCTTGCATCATTTCCTTTTAAAAGTTCTTTTTTCGGCTTTTATGGCTGCCAACTCCGTCAGGGAATGCAAATGAAAGACGTCAGTTGAAACGACACAAATTTGCCGAAGCGGCATTAGAATCAATTTCATGAAACTAAACTGCATCTAAAAAAAATTGGAAAGTGACATCAGAAATATATATCCTAGTCGCTCGAAAAGGGAGAGGGAGAGAGTGGGCGAAAGTGCAATTTTGGATTATATGGACTGGATTTCGTAGTGCAGTGCTTTGCGTGAAAATAAAGTTGGTTTTATGCTATTTGCATTTCATGCTATTTGCATTTCATGCAGAGACAAAAATTGTTTTTGGGAGTGTGTATGCATATACACACAAAAAGGCAAAAAAAAAAACACATACAAACAGATTCTCATATATTTTTGGGAGTGCGTGTGGGTGTTCGGAAGTGCAAATGAACTTTACCACCCACTTTTAATTCAATAGCGGGGAAGTTAGATGACTGGAATTTTCGGAGCAAATTTA